CGAGCGCCACCTTGAGGGCCTCAAAAGAACAACAGTTTTTAACTTTGGGCTGCAGAGGGCCGTGGGACCGCATTGATTTTGAATAAGGTGCAATACACTTTCTCACCACTAGTAGTGGTAGTGCGCCACTCATACTGTATGTTTAACAGCTTTTTTAATATGTAGAAGAAGAACCTTCGAAACCTGTCGAGAATGGAAACTTACTCATACATGTCAACTTGTGCAGATTGTCCATAAGTTATAAGGATTTTACGTCATTTTGCAGGTATACGGACGTATAGAGGAAGCTCACGGATTTTTTTCAACATGGATTTTTTTACAGATTTTTTTCAAAACCTCATTTTCAAATTTATCTAACATGTCAGAGCCTGTAGGTTGGTTTAAAAACAATAAATAACATCAAACAGCCACCTTCCAACCTGTTCTGCCGCTAGAAATAAGTTTTGAACTTTTCCCACTCTCCTCTCCTCCTGCTTCGCAGCAGGCACTTTCATATGCCCCGCTGACATGCTCAACAAATTGGGCCCCGACGTCAGAAAGGTTAAGAACCCCTGGTGTAGTGTGTAGTGTGCATGACAAGTAACTGTCCCAAACCCTAAATTTAACTTCTATTTGCCCTAGACATCCTATCCCTGACCTCACTACCTAAAATTAACTAGTAACCCTGATCGCTAATACTAACCACGAACCCCAACCCAAAGATCCTATGTGATGCATCAAAACTGGACACCCTGGACAAGCGTCAATATGTGACGAGTCGAGAGTGAGAATGTGTCAGACCATCTGATCAGTGTATTCACATGTAAACAAATAAAACACAAGGTAGTTAAGAAACAAATAAAGGAGAAAGGTTACACAAATACAAGCAAAGAGATACATGTTTTGTTGTTTGATTTTGTATTTGCAGGTACTTTAAATATTTATTTGTGTTCTGAATATCTAAATCTAATCAGGTTGGAAGTATTAAGATGAGTTCATGCTCACAACTTGAATTTTTACCAGTGAGGTGCCCAAGAGTATTTCACATTAAACTGCACATCTTTAAAAGGTATAGTGTGGTTATTGTTGAAGTTGTTCTTTTCTAATAGCTATCAATACTTAGAAACGTAATCGTGATATTGGTCATTAAGCATGGAGTATGGAGAAAAGGGCAAAAGACTTCAACAATGAGGTTGGGGATACCCATTAAGTTGAACGCTTTTGGCAATCAGATAGTGCAGTGGGCTGGTCTCTAATTGATCGTGAGATTTGTAGAAAACACCTTGAAAAACCCTTATTATTTAAGGTTCAGCGACATTTTGATGCCTGCAACCACTGAAGGCAACATATTTTATGGAGATAAAGCATATGTGTATATATAT